AAACTTCATTTTTTTGTGTTTGGGGTTAAAATTATAACGTATTTTATTAAAATAATGACTATTTAAGCATTTATGAATAATATTGTAAAGAAACAGACAATTTGAATCCAGAAATTATTTAATTATTCTATTCAATTTTTTTGCAATTGATGTGAAGAATTTACATATATTTCTGTTCATAATAGCTTATAATTCTGTAGGAGTAGGTTTGTTCTTTCACAGCATCTTCTACCATCAACAGCGTAATACATTTGTAAATTTTCTAAAAATAACTTTCTGAGCTGCTTTCGGATTTACATAAGCCACTACTTCCCTCAACAAAAGTATGAGGTAGTTCTATCGTACAGTAGGAGACTAATTAAAAATAATTATTTAGTAAAGCAACCAAAGCCAAATTAACAAGCTAGAAGCAGCTATAATGATAATAATTTAAGATAATTTGGTATAATTTTAATTAAATAATTTAAATAAATTTAGAACTAACTGGAAGAAAAGAATCGGTGAATCAGTGAAATCATAACTGTGACTTATACCGTTGTCCTATCTGTCTCTTTTCACTGTTATCACAGGCTATGAGTCACATAATTGTAAAATGGGAAATCCAGAACGGAAAAGTGATGAATCGAAAGTATCGTAAGCGCGTATTATGATGTATGTATAGACATACATGGACTAGAGCGATAGAGGAAACAGAAAGGGAAGAGCAAAGACGAGCGCTTCAAAAGAAGGATAGGCGGGGTCAGACCCTCACATGTGTGCGACGATTCTCAAACGAATAGGTGTGTACGTGTGCTGATCTTTGTAATTATAAATTGTGAATACATGTGACTAATATTATTTTCTTTTTTATTTTGTCCAAGTTATAAGTTATAAATAAATATAAACAAACAACACTAGCCCGATAACATTAAATCTAAATATCAAAATGATTAATTTACTGTGTTTTTGTTATTTCTTACTTCTGTTTTTAGGTATTTGGCCGAATAGTGATTAAATATTCGGTATTAGGCCGAATAGCGAAAAATAGGCCAAATACCAAATAGTAACCGAATATTCGTTACATCACTAGTACTTACACAAAAAGCACTCTGATATCCAAAGTTGCAAAAAGTTGCCAAATTTTTTATTTCACTGATTTTCTTAAAAATTATATTACTGTCAGATGCAAAACTCAGATTGGACCACTTCTGGCATTTTTACTTACATTTATTTTTATTTTTTCTACATAGTAAGTTCATCTATAATCTATGATATTTCCATTTAAATAATTACATTTTACCTCATTTGTGGCATAGTGTGGCAGTGAGTGGGCCAGATGAACTGACTTTGCGGGCCGGATCTAGCTCGCATGCCACAATTTGGTGACCTCTGGACTAAAGCATAAAAATTTTGACACGACAGAACACTTGAAATACTGTTTAAGTAATGTGATGATCAAATGTGTTATTTGAAATTATTCATTAAAAAATTACTCCAAAATAATTGCTTTTCTAAGTGACAGCTTAACATGTTACTTTTGGTTTCTAGATTCCAAACTGATAAAGGCTATCAGCACCTGCATTAATTAGTAAGTAAAACTGATGGCAATAAATAATTTGAACTGGCAAAAAACTTTAAACTGGCAAATGGCTGATGATTTTTTTTTAATTTTCCAAAGCAACACCTGCTAAATATGATATGATATATATGTTGATATCTGAGTTAAGAATATGATATCTGATATGATACCTGAATTATGATGAACTCTTAAGGAATGAAATCATTTTAATGACATATNATAAATAATTATTTTATTTTTGCAGTAAAAATGTTTTGATCATTATTAACATGAAATGAGCATTAAAGCCATTTCTCATTTGTTAATCAATATCATCTCTATTAAAATGACTAGCAGATAAGCCCGGTGTTGCTCAGGCAAAAAGTAACGATAACAAAGATTAAGATTATTACATTATAGCCAATCTTAACCGTTTTCTCAGAATACAAGAATTAGGTTCCCTGTTTCCAGACTAATTAGAAAATTTTTAGATGGGTCTAAAAATATGTTCGATTTCTCACAAAAATGCAAAAAACAGCATCTGCACCTGTAAATCTTGCATGTCGCTTTCTCTTCTTCAATTGTTTCTTAACCATTTCCATTGTTAACACAATCTCTCCCCGCGAGGGGAATTTCGAAAAATCCCTTCTTAGTGTACATTCTTGTGACGTACCCTAACTGTGTACCAAATTTCAACCTTCAACTCCTAACTGTTTGGGCTCTGCGCTTCTTATTATTCAGAGTGGCTATTTCAAAGGGCAATTTTGGCAACTAAAAATAATATTGTTGACGATATCAACTTTAATATTCAAAAGGAAATTCCCAATAATATTCAAAAGAAAATTCAGAACTGGCAAGAGCTCCTCCTCCTCTTTGAAGTTTGGGCATTGTATAAAATATAAAATCAAATCAACTTTTTATTAACAAATACACTTTACACAGTTTTCACACTTTATTTTCGATTTATATTCAGTAACCGTATCACTTTGACTATTCACACTTCACTGTTTGTTTTTATCCACTCACTGCACTACTTTGGAATTTTCACTTCTTTTTCGGTTCTTCCCTTCGTCACTGATAAGAAACTGACGTTTGAACCCACGACGGATCTTGCTTTATATATCCCCACCAATGGGTAGTCCCACCCATACGAAAAAGGCTTCAAATAATCAACAATATTCCAGAACATTCCACAACATTCGAGAGTGTTGTGGAATGTTCCACAATGATCTGGGATGTTCCCGAACATTCCAGAACATCCTGGAATGTTGTGGAATGCTCTTGAATACTCTGAAATGTTCTGGACTGTTCTAGAAATTTCTAGAGGGCAAAACTTCCACCTCTTATATCTTCAACAGCATGCTCTTCAGGTAAAAATGGGAATCTTCTTCATGGATGAGGGATAGAGGACTACCACACCCTTGATCGTACCGGGACTTGTTTTTGAGTTTTAGCAGCACACACATTGTACACTTACCTTTATAATATATATTGATGATTGATTGATTATGTTATCATTTTTATAATCATTTCACTTCATCCTTTTTCAGAATTTAAATGCAAATTACAAAATTAAATGTCTGAAGTAAAAAACTGAACTGAGTGTTAAGATTTTAAATACTTTGTTAAATGTTTAACAAACTTCTAAAAATAAAAAATTAAAATAGCCCCAATTTAATTCAGTCTTTTAAAGTTACTAATCCATTTTATTAGTGTGTTATTCACACAGTTTAATTCCAAAAATTTAATATTTATTTAATTGAAATGATGATTTTAAATTTCATTACAAAGTAATGAAAATAGCAAAATCAGTTTTTCTATTAATATACCAAATTCTTCACATTTATTTTTAAAACTTGATAGTATCATTAGATAATTATCTGATTAAGTAATATTGATTATTAAAATTCAGCTGACAATCAGTATTTCTCTCAATATTATATTAAATATTTATGATGTTTCATTTAATTTTGAAATCGATAAATATAAATTTAAAAATTTATTGAGAGGTTGTGGCTGACGTTTTCAGCCCAAAACGTAAATGTCAGATGTCAAACACCGCCATCTGGCAATTCTAAAGGTTGACAATGACATTTGCTACAACTAGTATGGCGAGTAGAAGTTCAGCTTAAACTTCATTTTTTTGTGTTTGGGGTTAAAATTATAACGTATTTTATTAAAATAATGACTATTTAAGCATTTATGAATAATATTGTAAAGAAACAGACAATTTGAATCCAGAAATTATTTAATTATTCTATTCAATTTTTTTGCAATTGATGTGAAGAATTTACATATATTTCTGTTCATAATAGCTTATAATTCTGTAGGAGTAGGTTTGTTCTTTCACAGCATCTTCTACCATCAACAGCGTAATACATTTGTAAATTTTCTAAAAATAACTTTCTGAGCTGCTTTCGGATTTACATAAGCCACTACTTCCCTCAACAAAAGTATGAGGTAGTTCTATCGTACAGTAGGAGACTAATTAAAAATAATTATTTAGTAAAGCAACCAAAGCCAAATTAACAAGCTAGAAGCAGCTATAATGATAATAATTTAAGATAATTTGGTATAATTTTAATTAAATAATTTAAATAAATTTAGAACTAACTGGAAGAAAAGAATCGGTGAATCAGTGAAATCATAACTGTGACTTATACCGTTGTCCTATCTGTCTCTTTTCACTGTTATCACAGGCTATGAGTCACATAATTGTAAAATGGGAAATCCAGAACGGAAAAGTGATGAATCGAAAGTATCGTAAGCGCGTATTATGATGTATGTATAGACATACATGGACNCATTAATGCTTTTATTCTATTTAATTACAAATCAATAAATTTAGCAATTATTTATTTTAACATTAAAAATTTAAACTACAAAATTAACATATTAATCATAGAAAACAAGAAATGTATTAATAGTTTATACACAGTAAATAATAATTAAATAGGATAACAATTATATAAGACACTACATATTGCTAAATGTAGAATAAATTGAGTTAATAAGGAAGATTACAATCTTGTTCGACAGTAGTTACGCAGATTTGTAAAATAAATACCATGTTCTCAGTCGAATTTATTAAAACAACTTAAAAATTTGCATATTAAATGAAGAGAAATAACTTGCGATCGATATTATATTTTGAAATTTATTTAAACGTAAGTCTCTTTAAATTCAAGGACGATTCAGTGTAATGACGTTATATTACTAACTCTTTCCATTTGATCAAATTTTAAATGCATGTAACGTCTTTCGACATCGATGCGAAATTTTCCCCCTTTGTCAATCGATTGTATGTTTAAATTCCATTAAGAGTTTATGGTTAGGGTAAAAGATTTTTCGAACGTTCTTCCCTAACAAATGGTGCAGTAAGAAAATTTGTTTGTTTTCTGTATGTTACACATCGAAACCTCACAAATATTTCAAAACATGTACGAAATACAAGCAAACTTACCTTTCAAAGCATTTGTCAACATTATCCGACATCAATAAAAGCATACACAATTGTTCTAAAGCGATCATTTGCATTTCTCTTTCTTCCCCTTGTCCCATTGAAAGCCATTCTAATAGCGTTTCTGGATCAATCTCCGCCATTTTCGATGGTTAACGAACTTCGTCAGAAGATATCGCAAATTATATCGAATGAGTACTAGGGGGCGCTAATAAATTTTTATAAAACATTTTATTTATAACTGGCAAATGGCTGATGATTTTTTTTTAATTTTCCAAAGCAACACCTGCTAAATATGATATGATATATATGTTGATATCTGAGTTAAGAATATGATATCTGATATGATACCTGAATTATGATGAACTCTTAAGGAATGAAATCATTTTAATGACATATGTACATAAAAAGCAATTCTTCCAAAAAAAAAAAAACTGAAATTTTTGTATTTATATCTACATATCTTAGCAAAGTGAAAACAAAGTGTTCTCATATTTTTTTTCCTTAAGGTTCTAATCATCATTTCTATTTAACTATCATCTCATATACTCCTGTCATATCTAATTTTTATAGTTTGTGTTTACTGTTTATCATCATCATCAACATTTATTTTTCAAATAAAATAATAATAATACTGTTTTCAGTATTGATAGCAAAAACAAAAATAGATACATTATGGAAGGAAGTAAAACAATTAAATGATCTGTTAAAAGACTCACAACAGTACAAAACTTGAAAAATCAAGATAATTTGGAAATAATGATTTAAAAAGAAAGAAAAATAATAATGCAGAGCTGTTGCCAAATGCATAGGTTATATATAAAAATATAAATAAAATGAATATAAATGAAGGTGGTTGTAAAATTCTGGACAGACAAGAATGTTATACATATAATACAATATTAATAATAATTTTCTGTATTTAAGATTAATCATATTATTAATTAAATTGAAATGTAACTATTTTTTTTTTCTTATTGATACAATTAGAATGTAAGTTAACATGTTCATATAAAGAAATGACATCATATCAGATTATCAATGCAATAGTTTGAAAATATATCATAAAAAGATATTACTTTTACATGTAAAAGTAATATTGAAGATATTATTGAAATTTATAAAATTTAGGTGAAAATTTTCTGAATGTTTATATTTATAGTTACTATAGTAACTGTAAATATAATCTAATGGAAATTTTTTAAATGTTCAGTCTTGAGAACAGATGAATAGTCAAAAAAATATTTAGTTTATTTTGAAATAAACTGTACTTCATTAAAAGCATTTAAATGTTTCTTTTACACATTAACAAATATCTGTTAATCTAATAAAGCACGTCTAAAGAACATTAGAACGAAAACTAAGTACCAAACATGGCTAGATCGAAATATATATCCAATATCTGAATCTACATTTTCTTTAGAGTTTTCTTTATTATTGATGCATCACAACTCTGACATTGTCTGTGCAACATCCAGCAGAAAATGGCATTGTATGTTCTTTGAGTCATTTTATGGAATTTAGCTGAGTGAATTATAAAATTACATATTTCAAAAAAACAAAAAATCCATTTTTTTTTTGTGTATTTTTTAACCAATATTTTTAACAACTCAAATCTTTAAAATATAATTTATTTAATACCGAAAAACTNAATTCTCCAAAAATCTGTATCTCGAATTATAGACTGAAGTGTCAGTGACAAATTCAAAGCTGAACGACTATATTTTGATAGCACAAATTGTTATTGAGAAACTATATCCGACACATTCCCGAACGGACCCCCCCCCGAAAACTTCCTGGAATTTTTCAACCCGTCCGGATTCGGTCCCGGGTCCCCTAGAGCAATAGGTTGCCACCTTGACCGCTCGGCCATCCAGCCTAAATCTTTCATATTAATAGAATCATCCCATAGGTTTTAGTCATCAACAGATTGCTCAAATCCTGAAGTTGTCTGCTTTTGGCTTTCTTTGAGATGATTTATTTTGCTTGGAAGTAAGTTTCGTACAACAGGCTTTTTTGACTGATTTTTCTTCTGCTTTTTTTCGCTTTCAGTTCTTCAAGGCAGATGACTGCTTGTGACGATGACGGTTTCCTCTCTCTCTCACTTTCGACCTGATGTCCCCTTCTGCAGACCTGCGTCAGGTATTGGCATATCATCTTCTGGAACCACGGATACACGCACGAAACTATGATGTCCCACTTTGCACCGGTGAGAAGGGCTGATACAGGTGTGGGCAAGGTTGGCGGCTGCCCAGGAAAGAAGATTGCTAGAAGCGGCAAAATTGGCCGAAGAAAATAAAAATAATAAAACATTCTTAATTTCAGATAATCGATTATTTTACTTTTTAAAAATAATTAAGTAATTAAATGTGAGAAATCCGAGTCCTCGGATCTTTCGATTAAAATTACACTATGTCTATATTTAAATTTTAAGGTGACAAATAACTATCTTGCTCAGAGCGGCATAATTTCTAGGTAGGCCCTTGCCGGTGGCTAGCGGGGGGACAGCTAGTATTTTCATGGTAACATTTCGAACATTTTAGATTGAAGTATGAATAACTCCAACCACGATTACCACGCCGTTTTTCTCTCGTATATACGTACCTTTTTTAAAACTCTTTCCGCCCTGTGTCGGCACTAAGAGGGCCTCTTTTAGCAAGTCCATTATGAATTCGGCCAGGCATACAATGGGGTGGCCGGGTGGTGAGGGATGGGGCCCGACATATCCGGACGGACCACTCCCAGAAAATTCCTGGAAATTTTCGACTTGTTTCAAATTCCATCCCGGGTCCCCCAGAGCGATAGGCTGCCACCTAGATCTATCGGCCATCCGGCCGTCTGTATATATGTACAGTACAGAACCAATATTAGCTACTCAAGCATCTGCAGAAAAAAATGAAACTATTGAAACAGTCCTTAACGCACTAACTTATGTAATTATCGATATTGGTATACCAATTTCACCAAACATCTAATTTTTGCAGAGCATAAATTCTTTTATTTTGCAAATATGTTCTTCGAATATTTTACATTTTTAAATCCGAAAATGTAAAATATTCGAAAAACGACACGTTCCATTTTGGAACATTTATAATCGTAAGCCCAACGATGGCCTATATTAAATAGGTTGAAAACGTTAGTAAAAATAAAAGAATTTATGCTCAGCAAAAATTAGGTGTGATTTAGGTCAATCTTTACCTACGTGCACCTTCATGGCGGCGGTCGCGACTGTTCGCTTCGCTTCGGTTAGGTTAGGTTATGTTAACTATATTTTTAGTAGACGTTACTTTTTTTTCTTTTGTTCAGGAACTACCGTGAATCAATAACTAGTGACGTTAGGCACTCGGTGGTCTGCCGGCGCTTCCCTCCGGGAGGAGTCCGTCGGGACCGTGGCCATGACGGTGCACATAGGTAAAGAAACCGTGATTTATTTGCTGAGAAAGTGGTGGATAATGATATTATTGGTACAGTACATTTGTCACAAAATAAATTTCAACTTATGCATCAATAAAATCTGTTTCTGAGCTGAGCATTTGCTTGTGATAGCCTCGTCAATTAATAGGCAAAAACAAAGTAGAAACAAGACGGAGTACAGTGGAAAATTTTTCAGTTTGCCTCTTTCCAGTCTGCCTCATGAGCAACATACGCATGAAAATGCCACATGTTCAGACAAAGACAGCATATGATAACTTAAAGGTAAAAATTTCAAGCTATCGGAAAATAACACTCGCATTTAAATCTACAAAAGAACGTAGTTAATTAATATAGTTGCTGACTTACCTCAAAACTTACAACAAACAGCTAAAAAGATTACTTTTATCTGCACATCTATTGTACTCATTAGCCGGTTACCATATGCAAATACATCGTTACTGTGATCTCCAACACTCATGTACCTGTACATTACAAACGAGTCGGATTATCCAATTAAAACACACATATCATGAGTTTCCACTTCACCCCTTCATTCGTCTTTGTCCCAACTTTCCCAAAAGGTCGCAATTAACGATGCTTTTCTCTGATTGGCTACGAGTTTGGCTTAAGTCTTATTGGTTGAAGAAAGTCAGGCATCGGAAACTATTGATAAATTATTTCTGTTAAGATATGTCAGAAATGTTTTATTTATCCCTAATACAAGTATGTACAGTACAGGTACAGTAGTTACTATTGCGATGAGTCAAAAAATGGTCCTCCAAGATTTTTACATTTTTGGATTCAGGAGATCTTGAAACGTCGAGAAATGAAAGAAATTCGGGGTGTTTTCTGTATGTATAGATGTGTGGGGGGCCATGATTTTGTTTACTTACTTTTGAGCGTAATAACTTCTGTATTTTGTCAAAAATTTCTGAAATTTTGCTGGGATGTTTGAATATTAGGGGGATTGATGCTATTATACTATGATGGTGAAAGATCGACGAAGTGGGGATCAGTAGCGTAGCGTAGTGGGGGCGGCAGGGGCGGTCCACCCCGGGCGGCTCTTTTAGGGGTCGGAAAAATTTCACAATAAATAATAATAATATCTTGTAAAAATTTGAACCATTTCATTTCATATTTTCACCTACGATTCGGATCGATTGAAATGAGCACGGAATTTTTCATTACTTATTCTGTGACGAAACTGAATTTTAGTCTTTTAAATTGAAAAACCTAAATAAGAGGGTAGCGAAATTTTCCTCCGCTCCGGGCGGCTGACACCCACGCTACGCCACTGGTGAGGATCGTGTTTCCTATCTCGATTAGAGTCGGACTTAATGACGATTTTACTAGTTATTATAATTTGCAGTTTTTCTTTTTTTTTTTTTCTTTTATAAAACCCATCCCTAACCTCTCAAAATTAACCTTTTTGCCATGTTATAATAATGAAATCTAAAGTTTTTAATAATAAAATATCATAACAGATGGCGCCATGTGCAGTTTTAAATGTTGCCAAGAAACTTAAGCAACTCGTTGCTGGATTTTTTTTTTTTTCAAAATTAAACAGAATAATTTACAAGAACTGCTCAAAAAGTTTTTTGCAAATGTATAATTGCTATTTTGGCAAACCAGATCTTAAAAATGAAGCCAAATTTGAAAAATATTTAGAGTATTTTAGTTTTATTTNTGAGATTGGCTTTGACGATTTAAATAATTTTAGTAAAGCTGGCAAAAGACACGAAAATCCTAAATCTCGCATCGAATCTTTCGTAAAATTGAAACAATTTGGAA